TGTTACAGGAAACGTTAAGCAGTATGACTTAAGACTTCTGGCACTCTGAGGTCCGAGTGTGCAGTGAACACACGCTGCCTCAGAGCCCTCAACTCCACGTACGTGAGAGGAGGGAACAGTCTCTCCTGGCTGCTGACGGACACCAAGGGCTGCCTCCAGTGTTCAGTCTTACAGGGTAAATGCCATCGCGCTGGGTTACGGGTGTAACTATAAAGTCAACTCCAAACACTATTTCAAGCTTGAAGTGCAGAGTAAACAGACGAACGTGCTACAGCAATTAAAATTATGAAGACCGTAAAAATACAGCTAAAGAAAAGAGCTTGGTGCTGTCCATAGAACCACATTCAGCTTTCCCTGATGGGACAACTCTGACACAACATTACAGAATCACTGCAACACGCATTTTGAAAAGCTGCTTAACTGAGTAAACTCCAAAGTCCTATAAAAAGTGATCCAGATCCACCACACTTTTGAGTATTACACAAGTTACACAAGAGCTTTTAAAGATTAAAAATATTTTATTTACACTTTTCTTTATACACATTTTATACATTTTTTTCAGTTTGAAACCCGAACAGAGCACATATGCAAGTCTAGTATCCATAGCAAGGGAAAATTACTTTCTGCCAAAAAAAAAAAGCCAAGAAAAAATGCTTTAAAACAGTAAAAAGAGGCAATTTTTAAATTATTTATAGAAGTTTATAGCAGCCCTGGGGTAATCATTAGACAATTAATCCAAATGTAGATATGAGGTCATATACATATAATTTTAATTTTCTATAGGAAAAGTACTTCCAATTGCTAGACACAAACACAGCACAGTTTGAAAATAACTTTTCCTGTTAACTTATCAAATACATTCTTTGCAATACAAACAATCTGATATTGTACACTGGAATCATGGGATATTATAGTGGAATTGCAATCTCCAGCATATAATAATTTATTTTAAAAATATCTACAAAAATAACAATATATAGGGAAAATATTTAAAATAAAAACATAGCTCACTCTTCCCTTCACCTGTTCCAGAACTGACATAAAAGTTAGGTGGGTCCCACTGAGGTAATAAAAGCCCCCTAAGTAACTCTTCAGTCCTACAGAACACCTCATTTTCTAGACTTACAGTAAGGTGTTTTTTTTTCTACCAGAGCCATAAATAAACACTACTATCTGCAAATAGAAGTGATTTCCCCCCAGCTACCAACTTAATATTAATCCAAAGATATTTGAAATTGTTTTTTGAAAGCTATTCTTAAAAGACTATATAAACATTAATTGAAATTCGGAAGGTGAATAAAAATTTAGTAGAGGGACACACAGGAAAGCTGCGCTCAAAACAAATCAGTTTTCCTGCCACATACAACCAGGTTTAATGAAGTTTACCCACACAAATGGAAATCTTCAAGTTACTCACCAGCTTTCAAAAATAGAATACAGATGCAAAAGTAGTCATTAGTATTTATTTCAAGCAGCTTCAATTTGTTTAACAAACATGAAAAATCTCAGAATGTGAGCTACAGGACACCAGCAAGCTGTTTAAATAGATGACTCGTGCGTTCCAGTTATGTTCTTTCCTGCTCTCCTTCAGTGAGCTCTGCCACATGTGACAGATGCTTGTTCAAGTAACTTCACCAGCTATATTTTTATTAACAAAGAACAGGAGGGGTGTTTTCTTTGATGTCCCAAAGCCTATAAACACTTAAGCACAGGCTGAGTAACACTTGTGCTTATTATGTTTTAAGTACCTTACAGTTCTGTTTTCTTTACATTGGACTAATTCACACATGCCAAGTACACATTTGAAGTGTTAAAAGAATCTGGGG